TGTACTGATTCACCCTCGTATTTTTATAGAACTTTATTCAAACTTCCTGAACAGCAGTAGCGCGCGCATGTGTGTGTGTGTGTGTGTGTGTGTGTATGTGTGTGTCTGAGTTGAGCTGCACATCTGTCTGCTGGATCATCTTGTTGTAGACGAAGACGTGAAGGGTTGTGAGATGAACACTTGGCGGTGGCCACTTCTACGTTTCCCGCCCAGACCTAGGGTCAACGTGTTGGTACAGAGCCCAGGGGATGTGGTCAAGGTGCCCACCCCTCCCTCCACCAGGAATGAGGACCAAGGCAGCTCAGTCTCTGGTGATCCCTGTGGGTGAGGCTCTGGAAGCGGGAATTCAGCTGCATCCCCAGGGGCTCACACCAGTGCTGCCCTCTTTCTTCTCTGCCCAGGAGGCGGCCCTGGAGGCCCACCTCGCCCCCGTCCTGCACTCCCTCTGGCCGTGGCTTATGATGAATGACTCTCTGCTACAGATTGCCCTGCAGCTACTGTGTGTCTACACAGCGAACTATCCGGAAGGTATTTGTAACACCGCCTTGTGGTACACTGGGGGTGGCTCGTGGGCAGGGCTGTGCCTCTTTAATGGAGGGGGCTAGTTCCTGTTCCTTTGCTGCGAGCAAGGCCTGGACCGGGCAGGGGTAGAATTGGAGTCTAACACCAATGGGTGTGCAGTGTGTGTCCCTGAGTGCAGTATAAGCGAGCGAAGACAGTGGTCACAGGTGAGGGCTCCCAGGCTGGAAGGGTCCATGCTTCTCTGAGGAGCATCTCAAGACCCTAAGCTCATGAAAACCCAAGAGTTGGCTTGGTGGGTCTGCAGCACCTCTGGCAGATGATAGCTGGCCTCCGTAGGGGGAGAGGGTTCACTTGCCAGCAAAGGGAGCCGTGACTGAGGAGCCTTCCTCCAAGTGTCCCAGCCCCCACAGTGACGCTGCCGTGTGTTCAGGGTGCAGCTCGCTCTGCTGGCCCCCACCTGCCTGCCGCATGGTCCCGGGCAGCTCGCTGATGCTCTGTGTCCTGAAGCTGGCCGCCCAGATGCCGCTGGAGAACAGTGCCATCCAGCAGACCGCTTTCCTGTCCCTCTCCAACCTGGCCTTGTCCCACGACTGTAAAGGGGTCATTCAGAAGGTGAGTGCCTGCCCCCAGCACTGACCTGCTTTGGCTGGGAGTGTTAAGGGTGGGGCTTGTGAGGGTTCGAGGTGTGCCAAGGGCAGGAGGTCACCCGTGGGTGCCCACTTCCCTCTTGGTGTGGAGACGCCATCCTGCTCTGCTGATGATCGTGAGAGGGACATGCTGGCACTACTTAAATACCAGGTTGAATTGTGATGCTTTCTGTTCACATAACCTGGGGAAGCTATACAAGACTTGCTGAGTGCCCCCCCCCCCCCCTTCTGACATGAGAGGCGTCCCCTTCCACGAGCTGCTGCCACTCCAGCCTGGGCACTTGACTTCTCCTTTCTGCTTGTCACTGTGGCGCTTTACAGGGATCAGATGAGTTAAATGCACCCCAGTTTACGTGATCCCCCCAGGGTCTCTGTTTAGAGGTGTGTGAGCAGATTCCCTAAGCTGGGTGCCTCCTCAGGGCTTGGCCCGCCTCTTGTTGGCCAGGATTGCTAATGTCTGGCAGCCCTAAGGCACCCTGTCTTCCCTGAGCCCACAGCAAGTGGCACCAGCTGGTGGCAGCTATCCGTTTCCTCTGCTGTGCCATCTCCTCATATAATCTCCAAACAAGTGAGAGTGCTTCAGTAGTGGGGTGGGGAGTGGGGGTGTCAGAGCCCACTGTCCAGTCAGCAAGATTAGCAGTTCACACCCACCAGGCATTCTGAGGGAGAACCGTAAGTGTGCTTCAGGAAGGATTGAAGATTTATAATCCAGAAGCTCCATGTGGCGGCCCTGTGAGTGGGAGGCGCCCTGATGGCGCTAAGGTTTTTGGTGTGGACAGAGGAGGCCTGGCGGCACCATGGGTTAGGTCAGTGGTTCAAACCTCAACAGGGGGTTGACTCCCAGCTCAGGTTGTAGGGCTGTCTCCTCTGTGAGGCGAGTCCAATGACCCCAGGCCAGGAGCCAGCTTACCAGCTTGGTTAATCACCAAGTAAACAATACAAACTCTTTCTCTCCACTTTTTAAAGCAAACTTAACCACATTCTCAATGCCCAACTCCCTCCCCAGGTGGGCCCCTCATACCGCAGGTGTAGGTGTGAGTGGGCGTCTTTTCCTCCCCAAGCATGGTTGGTGAAAGTGCAGGGGGACAGCTAGGACTTGAAACCTCACGGTGGTTTACAAGCTCCTTGAAACTAGGAGCTTGTGTAACAGGCACCCCTCAGTAGCAGAGGGTTTGTAAGAGTCAGACTGTGAGTGCCCATGTGCACTGCCCTCCACCTCTGCCGGGACACTGTCACGGTGACCCTGGAGGAGTGAACACCGGCCAGGGATGCCCAATGCCGGCTCCCGGCTACGGAGGGCCAGGAAAAGACCGAGCCCCTTGTCTCTCTCCCACAGAGCAACTTCCTGCAGAACTTCCTCTCCGTGGCCCTGCCGAAGGGTGGTGGCCGGCGTCTCAGCAGGCTGGCTGGTCTGTGGCTGAAGCTGCTGCTCAACATCTCGCTGGCCGAGGATGGGCAGCAGATGATCCTGCGGCTGGACGGCTGCCTGGACTTCCTCGCTGAGCTGAGCCGCTACACGGCTCGGAGCAGCCCCGCCATGCCCCTCCTCATCTTCCACAACATCTGCTTTGGGCCGGCCAACAAGCCCAAGATCCTGGCCAATGGTGAGCGCTGGGGCATGGCTCCCAGACTTGTCCTCACCTTGGGCAACACTGGCCAGGCTCTGTGGTCACTGGTGGGCTGTTCGAGGCCCAGCTGTCT